AAAGCATTAGCTTCATATCATTCTTGAACAGGGGAGCTTCTGGCCATCCATTGTAGTGGTGGTTCACCCTATTCAAAACTCAAAAAGAGGGAAAAAGACAAAAAAAAAAAATTATTACTATAACCACCTGTCGTCGGTGATCATTTACAGCGACGAGTGGTTGGTACTCCACGAATAAAGAAGCAAGGAATTGACCGACTTTGGAGCAGCAGTGTATCCTCTCCTTCGTAGCTTTTCTAAGAAAGGTTGGGAAATTAGGGTTTTTCCTGCAAATTGGAGCATACTGGTGATTTTGTGAAGCACTAGATCCAAGGTTTTTAAAACTAAACCGGACAACTAACCAATTAGGGGTCTGGTTCCTGGGTCAAATGATCTGACCATTCCAACCAAACAGATGGTCCGTTCTAATAAAAAATAAAAAATAGTCAAACTGTTGGACGGTTCAAATGGTTTGATTGCTTGGGCCAACGGTTTGCTGACCAAATTAACAACTTTTGGAAAAATAACAGTTCTGGGTAAAAAGGAACCGGTCACCTAACCGGGTTTCTGGTTTTTCTGGTCCAACCATGCAGTCCGGTCCGGTTTTGAAAACCATGACTAGATCACTATCGGTTGGATGCCATGTGATCACTTGAAAAACAATCGGTTGGAAATCGATGAATCACTGGAAATGGTGACCATTTTTTCATGGATTACCCAAAAATTGTCAAAATTGCCTAACCAAACAGCCTTGTAATTGGCGATTCCCAATTTGCTGACGTGATGCCAACATGGCAGCGAAGCAAAATAAAACTTCTTTTGGAAGTGAAGCAAGGTTATGTATTCCCTCAAAAATATACTTTGAATGACTACCCTCCCTATGGAAACATCTTGTGCTAAGGTTGCAATTCTCTCTTTAAAATGGACAAAAATTGTGTTAGACTCAAATGCTCCAGTTATTGTTATTTCAACCTTATTTGTACAATGGGAGCTTTGTTTTCAACCTATTTTGTAATTTGCTTTGATGTGAAAAAGAAAAGCCTAAATATTTTAACCATGGTTTTCAAAACTAGATTGGACCGGACAATTAAATCGGAAAAATCAGGAATCGGTCAGGTGACTTGGTTCCATTTTTCCCCAAAACCAAAATTTTGTCAAAAAATATTGATTTGGTCAACAAACCGTTGATCCGGGCAGTTGAACCATTCAACGGTTTTGATCGTTTTTTAATTTTTTTTTGTCAAAATGGGTCATCTGTTCGGTTCGACCCAAGATCCGGTTTGTTGTCCAGTTCCATTTTAAAAACCTTGATTTTGACATTAAAAACTTTCATCCACTTTACATATTAAAAGCACAAAGCCTAAATAAGAGAAAAATAGGGTTAAAGAGTTTGCTAAATATTTTGACTATGTGTGGTTTGATAGAAAATAAGAAAGAAAAAGAGAGTTAAGGGAAATTTCTCAAGGAATTTATGTTTCTTTGTTAAGAGCTTTCCCTCCTTTTTCTTTCACTATTATTTTCTATCAAACCAAACACAGCCTACTTTGTCCTATCTTGTAAATAAATTAAGAAATATTTCCACCTAATAATTCTCCTTTCCTTAAATTTCTAAAATCCCTAATGTGAAAGTGAACCAATCCATTATTTTGGAACTCTTTTTTTTTCAATACAAAATAGATGAAATTTTTTATAGGCTGAAGTAATTGGGCTATATTTTCATCTCTTTTGCGATGAAAATTGTATTTGCTTTGTCATTTGAAACATATAAAAAGGGATAGAAAACAAAGTAAAAGGAATAGAAATAATAATTAAAATATTCCAATTGAAGAAAATTTTATGAAGAGACAAACGCAGCATAATGAGGAAAACCATAAACAGAGAGCAAAATGTGGAATCTCAACAAGTAAATGATAAAAATTTGAATCTTATTCTTCCCCCTTTTTCCTTGCAATGTAATGCGATTGTACTGATATACAAATTCACCCATTCATGTAAATGGCAGTATGTAAAATCTCTCTCTCTCTCTCTATTTCTCTGAAGTGGGCAGGACACGGGCCAACTGTCAAGCCAAAAGGAAATTAGTTTTTATTTTTTACAAATATATTTTCTAATTTAAAATTAATTAATGAATGTAGTGCCTCTGACTGCACAGCGCAGTGTGGCAGTGTTGTAATATGCTCCGGTTATTTAATGCAGTGATGTAGTGTGGACTGTGGACTGACCGACTGAGGAATGAGAATTGCCCATAACGTAATGATCTTTGGTCAACATTTGAATGTGTCAACGGTTTACTACATTCAAGGTCAAAGATTGACGGCCTAAAAGCACGTGTTAACACGTGCACAAGGATCTCTTTTTTGAATGGTAAAAGTCTCTACTTCCCAAAAAGTAATAGGTAAATCCCAAAATATAAAAAAAGACACTGAGATTCAATCTAGAACGTTCATCAGAAGGACAAGCTGTTCTTCTTCCCTTCTCTGACTTTAACAGCACTTTTCCCAACCAAATTAGCTTTCAAGACTCGAGAGCCGTCGTGCTCGTGCACACGACGACGTGCGTGCAGCTTCGTCGTGTGCATGTGATTGTGCTGGTGAGTGGTGAGTGGTGAGTGGTGACTGCCTGACCGATGATACTACGTAAGCACAGCACCTGACATCAATATTGAATTCTACCGGGCAACAGACACAGACACGTGGTGGTTGCTGAGGATGTCGGTAGCCCCTTATTTTGCGGTTGAGGTTTTCAAACTTTCTTGCCACGTGGCAAGCTTAGTGAAGAAAGTCAGATTAACCATCTATAACATTACCGGTTTCACTCGGCCAAACGAATACATATCTGAACCACATGTTGAGATTTCATTTGAGAGATGTCTGCACTCTGCAACTCCACGCTCCCACAACTAAAACTGCGAAACTGCAAAAATATAATGGCCCATGTGGACCCATTTATTGTATTCGACCCACTCGTCAGTCGCCATCTGTGGTCCTCCTCCCTTCCTCAATTCATCGATCCAAACCGCCCAAATGATTGTAACCGTCAGATTAATGACTTATCCTCTAGGAGGTCATCAAATTGATAGTGAGATGGCAACCACAACGACAATGGCCGAATGGGGCTTAGTCATGACTCATGAGCTGCACACTGCAAGTCAAACTTACTTGTAGACCAGGGCATGTCCGTTTGCGAGTGCTGAACTGAAGGTTCAACTACACTGGCCCAGTTGTTTTTAAACGATCCCCATATATATAATTCAATCAAAGAAGCTGAAATGGACAGTCCTTGAAATCACTGGCTGACAAGTGACAGCCAATTTGGGTTATCTGGATTTTAACCAAACATGTTATATTTTGGTTGCCACTTCTATTTTCAATAACCCACTTATTAAAAAAGCTTGACAGCAACTGAACCAGCTTAACTGAATCTTGAGCTCAACCTACCAAACGGGTTCTAAATCCGGACAATAATGAATAATCCACTCCAATAAACTCTCACGATGACCGGTGTGAACTTCTCCTCCTTTCTATCTTCCCTCACAAGTCTTTCAATCATTCAATAAATTCTGCTGTCTTTGATTGACAAACAAGTCTCATGGACCTTTTACACTCATACTAGAACAACAATATTATATCAAATTAATAAATAAAAGGAGCCCTTAGTACTTAATAGTTTTGCACCGTCGCCACGAGAAGAAGAAAAAGGAATTAGGGCGCTAAGGTCTCTTGATTCACTCACCTCACGGTCACGGGTCCGCGTACCTTCTGAGTTTGTATGTCTGTTTGGCCCTAATAATGATATATAATTGCCAAACACAAAGTCAAATATCAATTAGAATATTTGAATTATCAATTTGGGACACGCCATCATCTGCCGCAGCTGCTTCACTTGATTAGCAAATCTTGACCGTTCTTTTCTCTTCCCCTCTTTTACGCATGTTCCATCATTCAATTGGCTTATAGTGTAAAGGAGACATTGGCCCACCACATAATTATCTATCACTTTCTTGTGGGCCACATAAGTCAGCACAGAGGAATTATTTTTCGTAAAAATAATTAAAGCTACACTTATTCTGTATCCACTGTCATGTATGAAGTATGGAACTAAGATCCAAAGTTTGTAGTATGAACAATGAAGTTTCAACATCAATTGGGATTCTGTTTCTTACTTTATTTGATTTGGGTTAGGCACCCTTTTCTTCTTTGGTTTGATTTTTGGGTTTCACTGTCCCAAATGCTTGATGTGATGTGAACTAAGAATTGTATGTTTTTGAAAGGAACCGTCAGGTTCAATGCTCTGGACTTAAAAGGGTGACACCCACTTTAACTCAAAACAGCCTTGATTCCTCCTTGTGTCCCACCCTCTCTGTCTCTCTCCCTCTTCCCTCTGAGTAGCTCTGTCCGGTGACTCCAGTCCTCACGCAAATTTTTTTTTTCTCCACCATGTACTGACACACAGAGAGACTGTCGGTTCTGTTACTTTCTTTAACTTGTTTTCTCGTGTATTCGGTTTCGAGTCTTTGACTTTTCATCAGAAAATACAATACAGAACAGTGGAGCCTTTGGACCCACTTCATTACAATTATCTGCTTCAATCATCATTCTTGCTTTCTCACGAGAAATTGCTCCGAAATTCTCAACTTAATTAGAAGATGATTCTCTTTCTCTCTCCCCCATTGGAAGCTCTGGAAATTAATCTCCATTACTGCTCTTCACAACAGGGTAGGTACCAGCCGTTGATGGGGAGCTTCAAATCATTTAATCAGGTACCAGCCACATGATCAAAATCAAATGAACAGAATCTATAAGAGCCATTGGATCGAGTACCCATTTGATAATGAGAAACCAAAATTCTAGAATTTAGACTTCACTAGACAGATACTGTAATATTTTAATGTACGTTGGTTGCGTTACACATAAAATATCGTGAGAATAACCAAACTACCATGCTGTGCACTGGAGGAAAAAAAAATCGATTCAAACAGCTGTGTCATTATAATATTCCAGAAATCTGAATTTTTTTTTTCCTCGTTGATATACAAAACGCGAGAAGACGACCAGCCAGGGGGAATCTCTTTAGCTTTATCAATCCTGTATACTCTGTATTCTTCTCCTTCTTAAAAGTTGAAAAGAAACAACCTTCTCAATCCCCGGAAAGATTGTGTCTCTGTCTACAGTTTTTCTCATTTAATCCGCTTCTTTTCAGCAAGTCCCTTTGGTGTTTTGTCTTTCCATCTCTTTCATCCTTTTTGTGTATGCAAGTTGGGAGAATTACAGGTCATTATAATGCCATTCCCTCAAGTTTCCTCATTAATTATATATATGTAGGATATCCTTCTTTCTGAAATGCTAAGAAACCCTTTTGCTGTCACAGCTTTAACCAACCTCTCTCTTGCTCTTAGAATTACGTTTAATGGCCTCCATTTCAGTTTTTCCATTCTCCCACCTGGGCAAGTAGGTTTATTTCGTTTTCTTCTTCCTTTTTCTTTCTTCCCCTCACAACCTTCAATCATCTCTCCGAGTTTTTTCTTCCTTTTTCCCACTATTATGATTCTTTCTGTTTCGAGATCTTAGAAAACCCACCAATCAATCTGATTCCTTCTGCAGCTCTGCTTCAACCAAAATCCTCTGCTTCTCTTTTTAAGACCAGTTTGATTCTCTTCTTTGATTTCTTATGGATCCAGGACATGGATATTTGTTTGAGCATGTCCAAACTCCCCCTCTTATGGAAAACCAAGCAAACGTGGTTTATCATCCCTCCTCTCCTTCTTCAGACACGAGCTTCCCCATCTTAGCCATTGCAATACTAGGAATCCTGACCACAGCCTTCTTACTAGTGAGCTACTATGTCTTTGTGATCAAATGCTGCTTGACTTGGCACCGTTTTGATCTCCTGAGACGGTTTTCTATGTCTCAAGCTCGAAGACATGAAGACCCACTAATGGCCTACGTTCAAGCGACAGAGAACCGTGGTCTTGATGAATCTCTGATCCGTGCAATACCAGTTTTTCAGTTCAAAAGAGGAGGAAAAGGTGAAGAGAAAAGTTACTTCGACTGTGCAGTTTGCCTGAATGAGTTCCAAGAAGAAGAGAAACTAAGAATTCTACCCAATTGTGCCCATGCATTCCACATCGATTGCATTGATATATGGCTCCAGAGCAATGCCAATTGCCCTCTCTGCCGATCAAGCATTTCGACAACAGCCCGGTTTCCGATTGGTCAAATCATTGCCCCCACCCCTTCTCCCCAAGATCCACACCCATTTACAGAGACTCTCATGGGTGGTGATGAGGATTTTGTAGTAATTGAACTGAGGAATGAAGAGAATGGAGGTCAAACAGCTCACAGGCATCAAGAATCAGGAAGTTCAGGGGAGCTTCTGGGCCCAGCCCGAGAGGTTAGTCCTTCACCCAGGAAATTTGAGCAGAAATTTCTGAACAAGAAACCTAGGAAGTTCCATCATATTACAAGCATGGGAGATGAGTGCATTGATGTCAGGGGAAAAGATGATCAGTTCTCAATCACACCCATCAGGAGATCTTTTTCCATGGACTCTTCGGCTGACAGGCAGTTCTACCTCTCTGTTCAAGAGATCATACGGCAGAACAGGCAGCCCAATGAAGTCAGTCCTAGTGAAGGTTGTAGCAACAGAATCCGCCGGTCGTTCTTTTCGTTTGGCCATGGCAGAGGATCTAGAAGCGCAATTCTTCCTCTCCAATTCGAGCCCTAAGGCAGAGAAATTAATCTTGTTTTCCACTTTTCTTTTCATCTTTTGTTTTCTGAGATATAGATATTGGAATTAGGAAGCTTTAAGGAATAGTTTGTGATATAAACAAGACTAAATTGAGTGTATAGAAAAAATTGGATTTTTGGGTGTATCTGGCATGAGATTAGAAGCTTGTCAAGTTTGTGCTAATTGAATCATGAACATGATTATAAGCATTAATGCTTAAAGCACTCTCTGTGGATAAGGCCTTTTCCTTTTAAATTCCAACCTTTCCATGAATGATATTAATTGATAATTGTGGTTGATCCCTTTCTCTCCCCTTTACAAGGGCATGACAGAGAGAGAGAGAGAGTACTGCACTAGAAACTATAAGAATGGAGGGTCCCCCTCATCAACTACTTCTTTTGTCTCGACTAATGAGTCATAGTTTGGTGAAGGGCAGAATTCATGATTGATGATTTTGTATACGTATCTGCAGTGGTTTCTAGACCAAAACGAATAAAAGTCTGGTTTGGTAGGCGAAAGGAACCAAGGACCAACTTTTTCCCTATGGTTTTAAATTCTTGTAATATGAAAAGAAATTTAAAAAAAAAAAGGAATTTGAAGTTTCGAACTACCCAAAAAAACAGAAATTGGAACAATAAATAAGGGAAAAAATTAATGTAAAATCTGTTGTGAGTTCAAAAACAAAGAACCCAAAAATTCCAACCAAGAAAATGTTGAAAATATTTGGTCAAAACTGAAATTAGAGGAGGACAGCTAATTGCTCTGGGTCTGTTTTCTGTGAGAATCCTGGGGAAGATCGCAGCAGGAGACCCATAACCGAGGCCAAAACCAAATTCCTCTTTCCATTTGTTTTCTTGGTCAAAACTGAAAACAAGAGCGCAGTACAATTTTTTATTTCTTGGGTAATAAGCCAGTAACTAGGAACAGGGTATCGTAGTAGTACTAATACCTTTAATGGACTACTGCTTGAGAGTTGTGGTGTATGGCCATATTTAAGCAGCCCTGAGCCCCTGACTGAGGATTAGGTCCAGCTGGGTTTCAGGGAAAGGAAACAAAATACAACAAAACACGAAATAGTGAAGTTTACGATGATGAGATATGCAACCTCTGCTCAGTGAAGAATGCTCAGTAAAGAATAGTAACGATGAGGACAGCTCTGTTTCCAGGGATAGCATATGAGTGATGACTGATGAGTCGGTAAAGAAAAAACAAATCTCCATGAGTAAATTTACTTGATTTCAACTTTTAAGTGCAGCTCCTTCGAGGTATCGGCAACTGGGTTTCATGTCTCACTTGTTGCAGAGTTGCATATATAAATAATGCATTTAGCTCGCTCTCTTTGAGGTTACAGTACGTAATCGATAGGATTAAGAAGGCTTAAACCCAGAACTCTAGATTTCTACTGTTACATACAGATGCAGAAGCTCTGCTATCGAAATAATATTTATTGATTTTAATCTGGGGACTCAGGAGCTTGTGTTCAACTCATCACCTATTCGGTTCCTTGGTGAGCAAGCAACCAGCTTAGCCTCGCGTTGTGTCCACGTAGTGCACCATAATCAAAGATGATGCCCCCAAGGTAGGAAATGAAGAAATACCAGGTATCCTAATTTGATTTGCTCTCTGTTCTTTAGTGAGTTCAGCTTGCGTTAGGGCCATAGGGACAGGTGCCAATGGATCGGATCATCCGATCCGAGATCCAATTGATCGAATTCGGATCACTCATGTTCGGATCTTTGGATCAGATCGGAATAATAGGTTCGCATTCGGATCACCCCTTATCCAATCCGATATATTATATTTACATATATATATTACTTATTTTTTTATAAAAATATGTATATATATGATGAAAATAATTAAAAAATACTTATATTTTTTGTTTTTATTCTATTTAAATTAATATATTTTATTTTTCTTTTAATAATTTATTAATTTTTAAAGAAAACAAGTTAGATCGAATCAGATCCAACTTACCGATGGGATTCGAATTCAAATCAAGTCTTATCATATCCGGTCAGATCCGACATAAACAGTATTGGATCCATTTAAATATACTCTAATTCAAATCTAACCCAATCCGTTTGCATCCGTAAGGGCCCATACTTCAATCTGACTGGGAAGACCGATTAGTCCAATCAAGCTCGATCCAAATTGATTCATGCATTATGTCAATTGGAGATATAGGGTCGGTTTCAGTTTGATTGTATGTAAACTGATCATATTTTAAATTTAAATTTTTTTAATAATACTACTGCAATTATTAATTAATTTTATTGTTTTAAATATTGGGTCGAATCAAATCATATTTCCTTACTTAACAAATTAGTTCTAGGCTGTATTTTGAACCGATTAACCAAATTTATAAATTGATTCAAATGGATGCATCTGAATTGGCTGGTTTTTACTAATAATTAATCGGTTTCAAGTGGCCAATTCCTTAATCTAATTAAATCAATTCAATTAACCAAACAGCCTACAATCAAACCGGACCAACCCATAAATACCCTTAAATCAATGAAAGACTTTGGGTGGGATTCAGCTTTCTTTATATATCCAGAAATTGAAACCAACCAAACTCTTCAAAAATTGCCAAACCTTAGATTCCAAAATTGACATGGTTTTGGAAGCATTCCAAAATTGATAATATTCCCTTCGATTCAGGAATTGAAAATTTGGAGTTTTCCGTAAACCAGTTTCTATCTTCGTAGTCGTAGGTCCCATTACCCATTACCCATTACATTTGCGCTCTTGTGATGTTTTGTTGATGTTATATGTGGGACCTGCTTGAGAACAAGGAGAAATGGTTCACGTGCAAGTGTGCAACGATGTTTTCTTGGTCTTGATGAATTAGGGTGCAGCAGAACTTTTGCTGGGCCATGACTCTATTGGTAAGAAAATTCATTGGGTCCATTGGATAGAGGTTTCTAAGGGTAAAAAAAAATGAGAGCTTATCGGTATATGGACGTATGTATGTGTTTTAGAGAGACTAGATGTTTTTTTTTTTAATTTAATGAAAAGAAAAGAGACCCTAAATGTTTAATCTGGCCTTATTGAAGATTGGGGGCTAGATTTGGAGCCAAGTCAGACTCTTTGTGGACCTGGGTTTAATATCACAATAACTATGCATAAAAGATAAAACCCTGAAAGTACTGGCTTTTTCACCTCACATTTGGAATTAAGGTTTTGAAAACCAACTCGGAACTAGAACTGTTTCGGGTCAATGGTTTGACTGTCCTCTTCCAATGGACAGCCTATTCCAACTTAAAAAAAAAAATGGCCAAAACCATTGAACAGGTTAATGATTTATCTACTCAGCGGTTTATTGATCAATTCAACAGTTTTTTATCAAGGACAAGGTTTAGAGTAAAACAGAACCAGTTGCCTGAACAATTTTCAAGTCGAATGGTCCGATCGTCCGAATCAATGATAATTCAAAAACACTGTTTAGACTTTGGAACATCATTTCTCCATAAATGTAACATAACATACAAGAGATGTTCTGAATGTGCAGGTGGATGTCAGGGTGTGTACAAAGTTTTGCGGAAGGGAATACAGACTTGAATTATAAAGCCAATCATTTTCTTATGGGTGGATGGCAATGGTTTTCAGAATTTATGTAGAGTTTTGTGGGGAGTAAATTCGGGCTCAGTTTATAATGTCAATATTTTCCTAAGGCTCGGTTTGGAAAGAGTATAAAGACAAATATGTACAGTATATATACATACAAAATATAAGGCTTTGCATTCTACCTATTTGTATTTGTATTCCTTCCAACTTGGGAGACAAATTTGGGTCATGGTGCTTTCTGGCGATGAAAATTAAAACATCCTAAAGGGTAGGGGCATACCAAACAAGGGATGTTTTTGAAGCTTTTAAGATTGATGATCCAAAACCAATTATAGTATCCGGCATCATTAAAAAGGATGTGGTGATCTTATTAATCAATGACCACCAAGGGAGGTAAGAAATGAAATCCTTAAGGCCCTGTTCGTCTTTTTGTAACTTATTTACCCAGGTAAAGTGCATTTACCCATGTTCTTTTATTTCTTATGTAAATAAGGCAATGACCATTTTAGCCATAAAGATCAATTATTAAAAGGGGTATTTCTATCCCATTCAAGTATTGGCAACTTTCTCCCACGAGGAAAAGTTATTTACCCACCTAGGGGGTAAGTGATGCCTAGGAAAATAAACTTTCACTAATCTCCACATAAATATGAAAGAAGAACATGGGTTTCTTGGTCAATGGGAATCAAAATCCCATTGACCAACTTTCCCTCCTCTAAAATCCAAAAAAAAAAATGCCCCCTAAAATCTGCATCCCCGATCTAATTAGGTTGATGAATTGGTTTGGATCTTTTGAAAGGAATGAGAAATTAATTCCCAGTTTGCTCAAACATATCATGTTGTTAAGAGGTTAGAGACTTAGGCCCTATTCACTTTTTGGTAAGTTACTTACTCGATTAAATGCACTTATTCGGGCAAGTGTTTCCTAAGAAAGATTTACCCTGGTAAGTGCATTTACACGTGTTCTTTTATTTCCCATGTAAATAAGGCAATGACCATTTTAGTCATAAAAATCCATTATTAAAAGGGGCACTTTTGTCCCATTCAAGTGTTGGCTAGGTAGGAAAGTTATTTACACACCTAGGAGATGGGTACAATACGCAAGAAAATAAACTTTCCTTGGTCCCCACATAAATCCGAAGAAAGAATATGGGTTTTGATGGTGTGCGATTTGGTTGCTCCTATCTAGATGGCAGTTCGGACGTTAGTTACTTAGTTGTTCGATCAAACTACAAGGAAGTAGAACTCAGAGAACCCAGGGTGGCTCACTCGGTGTGGTCACTCCGATGCTTAAGTCAATACTTAATGATTGCAAGCTAAAAGTTTGTGAGTAAGATAGCTAGAATGCAAATAATCGCATGTTCCTGGGTTACGGGGGATGGTGCCCCTATATAAGTGAATTGCCACGAGTCTCACGAAACCACCTCCGAGATCCTCGGCCCATGCTGTTAGGAGTTCGTTCCACAATAGAAGGTGGATATCGTGCTATCCGATAAGGCTTATCGAGTATGTCTGATCCGGGCGAGATGAGGATAAGGCCTACAGTCGTACAATGTGATCCTGAAGAGCTCGGAG